TGAATCCAAAGCACCTCCATCAATTGCAGTGCAATCCAGCTAACATACAACAAAGTAAAAAGGCAAAAGACTAATCAATTCAGGAAACAAAGTTCAAGACTGTAACACTAATGAGATTGATTTCGAATTGTGGCAAGGAAAAACAAATAGAAAGTAAAAAAGCCTGTTTCTGATAAGCAATAAAGTAGTATAATAAATACTGCACAGGTTTCTTTATAAGTAAGGACTATGTTGCACATGCTACATTTTTTTTTTACCACTGAAAATTAGTACTTAACTAATAATGAATATAACTACAAAATTCAGATTTGGATGAAAAGTCATAGTGAGAAAAACTGCTCTTTTTTGAAAGACACTTTATTTATTTATTTTTTTTTTAGAAATTGCTTCTATTGAAATCATGTTTATCAACTACTTGCATGGCTGATCTCACACAAAAGTGTACTGTGCTACTCAATGTAATATGTTTGTCATAGAGGATTATAGCCCAAAAAATCAGTCTTTGTGTACCATGAGGCCTTTTTTGACCATCCAGCACATCTAATAACTGCAGAATTAGTATAGAAATAGAGTGATGTGAAAAAACTGGTAATTGCAGTTAAAAAGGTCTCTGAATCAGGATGCTTCCCAGGTAGTATGTGAGAAAACAAAGACATTTCCAAAGAACATGTTTTAATATATTTTCTCCAATAAAAGGACCCCTGTCCAAAGGAATTTGCTCCTGGTGGTAACAGAGCAGTCAGAGGCACCAGCATTTTACACAAGGTGTGCACCTGGGAGGAAAAAATTGAACTCTGTTAAAGCTTCTGACTGATTAATGAACAGTTTGAACACAATGAAGGGAAAACTAAGGGCACGTAGAGAGTCACTTTCAAGGCTCATAAACATTGTTCACTACTGGCTTGTTTGAAGCTTTTCCAACTTAGTAAATCAGTGCACCCTAACTCAGAATAATACTATGATGAAAGATGATGTAGCATATTGAACATGTCAAAATCAAGATTTTTCTTTCTCTGATGTGAATTATGCAGTGACAAATTTGTGCAACCCAAGAAATAACGAGTTCTCTCATCAGAATTTTTCTTCATTTAGCCAGGTCTGTATTATGGTTTTTAAGATTCCTTTCTAACCCTAGCATGTATTTGTCGGAACAATTATGTCTCATCTAAAAAGACAAAAAATACCATAGAGAAAGTTAAACATCTGCATAGCAAAACCAAAATTTTAAGAGATGCCTGATATTATGATATGTAAAATCAATTCATAATTCACTGAGATTTATGCCTGAACTTCCTCAGGCCCTCCTGAAAACTTCACCTTAGAGTATCTCCTGTTTTATCTATTTTTACTTATTTCTATCATTTTTTATTAAAAAAGATATAGTTATTTCTCTGTCTATGATAAATATAGAGATAATCACTATAGACACATCTTAATACCCAATACACATCATATAGGATGTAACAAAGGATGTGTTACTTTTATTATTACTATTATCATCCAATACACACTGAGCTTCATGTCTGCAATCAAATTTTGCAGTTAAGGAAATCCATTAGTAAAGAGCATTTACAAATTGTACTTTTACTTTTGATGTAATTTCAATTTATTTTTCATACTTATTTATATTTATATATATATAAAAACTACTTTATATGGGAAAAACTAAATGCAAAGATGACTTTGCAGGAAGAAATCCTCACAAGTGCCCCTGGGTTCCCTGCAATTCACGTCTGCTTAGCATTTACTTGAGATAAAAGGCAGGGTTAACTGTGCCCGATTGGTATCAAACCTGATAATCTCTTCCTGTTCTGCAGAACTGCTCTTATCATCAAGAACATCCCCAACAGAGAGCAAGGATAAAATATGGAAACTGTGCAATCCTACTGTCAGTTTAGGTCTCTGAGAGGGGTCAGTAAGTAACGGGATGAGAGAGTGACACCAGAGCACCCTGCGCCTCCACTAGACCTGTTTGACTGCACTGACATTTAAGGATGTGATGGAACCATGTTCCTCTCCTGACTACACAGACTGTCAAATGCATTAAAACATACAAAGGAAACTGCTATAGCTTTGTTACTAACTTACAAAAAGACATAAGTGCATTGACTGGTTCCATCTAGAAACTGTGGAACAATATAAACAATTAAGTCCTGCTTATTTATTTATATTTTTAATTTTAAAATAGTTGCTGAGCTTTAAATGAGAATATTATTAATATTATTAAAAATAATAAAAAATTCCACTGAAATGGCTTGACTGCAAGAGTCAGCCATATCTGAAAAAATTCTTTTCAAAGCTGGTTTTGAAGAGAATGCAACAAAAATAATAGAAGAGAAAATTAAAATATTTTGAAGCGTTTTACGCAATTTTGTAAATGAATATTTGGGAAAAAAAAATCTAGAAGCCCTGATAGCAATGTTTGGAACTGTAAATAATATGCTGAAAAAATATCACTTGGAAAATATTACAAGGAGAATCAAATCCTCTATATGAAACTCACTTCACAGACTTACAGCGATTCCCCCTGTTTTTACCAGTTTACTACAAAACCACAAATAAGCTGCCTCGTTTTTGAACCTGTGCCTTTTGCTGAAGCTCCCTGGCCTGCAACTCATGAAGTGCAATAGCTGGAATGAGGGATAACTATGACACCTGCTGCATAAAAGAAGGTATTTTTAGTGGAGAAAAGGACTATTGGCACTTTTAACAACACAGCACTGGATGGAAATGGTGGTACTGAGGTGCTGACAGATTCTTTGAAGAGGCTGTTTCATTACAGAAGTTTATGACAGAGACTTGACTGATGGGACATGAGGCTGGAAAAAAGACACTTCCTCCTGGGGACACTATTTTAAAGAACTAAAGAATTCTTCACCATTAAGACAAGTGTTTTCTTCCCTGGGCAAGATAAATAAGTTATACTTGCAGTTCATGTACCAATGCAAAGTTATTTGCAAAGGAAAGCAAGACATTTCTCTAACTCATTAATCAGAATATGAATGGAGATAGACCTAAATTGTATCACTCCAGAAATATTTTCCTTGCATTACAAAACTCCTGACATAAAGGATTTGAAAAAATTCGTATTTCTGTTATTCAAACACCTGTGCTGGAAAAAAATTGTTTAAACCTCATTATCAGTTAAGTATTTAAATCTTAAACCTCCAGTTTTAGAAATGTCATAATACAAATCTTGTGTTATACATTAAAAGTAATCATTACAATGTGTGATATCTCTGACAATAGAATAATATTTCTATGTTCTTTATAAATTATGTTTCATTTGAACTGTAGAAAATTTTATGCTGTATAAAAATTGTCTACTAAGGCATAAATTCAGACTTTAAATTATTCTATTTTCTCATACACTATATTTGATTGTTCCCACACACATTTAAAATTAATTCTGTCATACTTTTATAAGACTATGTTACTTTTAAATTCTTGCCATCTGTTCTAAAACATTTACCCTGAAAGGTGTTTTAGATTAAAATGATATATTGTATCAATGCAGAGATTTTGTCATGCCCTTCGGTATGAATTCTGTGTTGCTAATAAATTCTTAAATTTCAATTGCCCATGTTTTATAACATGGGGTGCATCTCATGTCTCTCTACTGAATATAAAATGTATTAATATTTAACTTTAAAGCACAGTAGCTATATAGCCATAATCAAAGAATATATTTTATACCACTATGTGAAGAGTAGGCAGGATTTCACAGAAAATTTCCAAAATCTTCACTGAATTTCCATTTTTACCTAGTTTTTTTCCTTTTAATACATATAACTTATTACCAGTGCACTCATTAAAGAAACAAATACAGCAAATTAACATGTTCCCAAAATAATATTTTGCAAAGTTCAAAATACCTTTATATGACTACTGAAGACTAGCTATGTTAAAGCTATTATTAAACACTGTATTTATTTCTAGGTGTTCTGGATTGGTAAATCTCTCAATTCCTAACCATTCTTTTGACTATTCTTTGTTTTGCTTCCAGATTTATTTCCTATGCCACAATGCACTGTTCCTCTGCCAAAAAGATGGAACACACAAATGTATACTGAAGTCCCTTTCAGAACTCCCCAGTAAATCACTCAGTGGTCTGCAATCCTTACTTATATTCCTGTGCCACAGATCTTATTCCAACTTCTGTCCTCCCACTGGAAAGACTTTTTCTCTTCAGAGACTCAGTTTAAACAGGTTCACTCAGACTATATTGGAAATGTATTGGAAAAAAATGTATCTAGAAAATCTCTACAAAAATGGAATAACAGTGAAATATAAATGAAGAAGTTGTTTTTCTTTTTTTCATTTTTTGAAGACCTTTGCTCATAAATTTGAAGTACAGTTTGAAGAGACAATTTTCCAATGGGTTTTTGTATATTTCAGATTTATATCCTCTGATTGGCTTCTAAAGCATCACACTCTTCTAAGCAAAAACAATCTCCTTTTCTACTGGATAAAATTCAAGTGCTTTGAATAAAGGCAATCTGTAAAAGAGATTGTCACCAACTTGATAACTCCAGGAGGGGTTATAACAGGGGTGAGAGACTTTTTAGGGATTAGTAAATCACAGAACTAGGTGGGGGGGGGGGAAAAAAGAGACTTTGTTGAATCTCAGAAGGTTAAGCTAAAGACTGAACTGCTGCTCAAATCAGTCCTTACCTTATCCTGCTGAATACTTTTCATCCCCAGCAGTCTCAGCAAGCCCAAAGATTTGAAACTATTAAGCTTAACCTTAAGTTAGTGGGTAATACCACTGGAATATGATTTCAGATGAAATTCTGTCACACTTAAATCACTGACAAGGCTCTTATCAACTTCAGAAAAGACAGGATTCCTCCACAGAATAACAATCTACAGGACATGTTTTCTTCATTTATGCAAATTCAAATACGAATTACCATGAAAAAATGACCTTCCGTTAAGAATGTACTTTTTTTTTTCTTTTAAAACAAATTTGAAAGAGAAAACAAAATATTAGAACTTACATTCAATATCAAGGTACATGCTCTTTTGGTGCCCACCAATTCTACTTGCAGCTTCACAGTCATATCTCCCTGAATCTGACAACTTCACATCTTTAATATGCAGTGACGATTTTCCATGCTGCCCTTTGACTTCTATACGGCCATCTGGGCTCTGTTTACATTGATTCAGGAAAAAAGAAGGTTTTATATATTTATATATGTATATCAATGTATAATTTATATATTAAACACCATTGATAAGAATGACTGAAAGCACCTCTTCACCTACGGTGAAGTTATTACTGACAGCTAAGCAATTTCTAAATTTTCCAAATAAATAAAAAAAATATAGAAAAATATGTTCTGCTTCTAGACACTATAATCAAGGGAATAAGTACATGCTTAAAGGAACATTGTCAAGAGAAACCACAAAATATATCAACTTATGACTTCAAGAATGAACTCCATACTCAAAACTTCTTTATGATCTCACTCACTGTGTTATGAAGCTGCAGTTAATGAAAATGCATTCATGTAAGATCATTATATCTTAGATTACAGTTAGCATCATCTCTCTGGTCCTCAGTAGTGCAGAAATAACCCCTCAGACAACAGCCAAACTACAAATCCAGCCATAGATTTATTTTCATTATTCACATTTTCTAGTCAGAAGCTCAAAATTGTTAAAAAACTTGAACCATAAACGCAACTGGAAGTTCTGGATTTCAGTTCCATATCATTGGATGGAAAAGGCCAAGAGAGAAAGAATAATCTGGCTTCCAATTTTCTAGAGCATAAATTTTATATTTAGCAAATTCATAAAAGTCCTTATCCATAACAACTCCTCTCCTCCAAATTATTTGAATTTAAAGCATATATAAATATTGGGGACAACCGAACAAAATAATTTAAAAAAAAAGTCCTCTGCTTGGCACTTCGACCTTCATAGAGTAGTATACCTGAGGAAAAAGGAGTTATTTTTAATTTGGTTCTGCTCTGTACTTATAGAATCATGGAATGGTTTGGGTTGGAAGGGACCTTAAAGATCATCTCATTCCAACCCCCCTGCCACGGGCAGGGACACCTTCCACCAGACCAGGTTGCTCAGAGCCCCATCCAACCTGGTCTTGAACACTTTCAGGGATGGGGCAGCCACAACTTCTCTGGGAAACCTTTGGGAAATTTGTTGTACATTGGTTTTTATTTTTGTTTCAGGAAAAAAAATATTATTAGAAATACTTATATTCACCTACCTTCATTATTAAGGGAGGTGGAAAATGGAGGGAAAATCAGTAACTATTTCATTGGATCACATTTAAACTTGAAACAGATTTAATGTTCAGTTCTACAGTACACAGTCTGGATTTTACTCCTTTTACACTAAATACCATGAGGCAGCTGATATTTAAGTGACTGAGCATTTAACTCTGTACAGCTGTTCCTTGACTTAATAGAGGAAAAAATGCATACAATTAAGATCTTAAAATATTTGCTGGAAAGCAGTCAGACAAAGCATTCTGTTTATCACTATTTATATGGAAAGAAATGCTTTCTGATCCCATGTCAGAATCCAAGAACATTGAATTCTGTTTCCTGTGAGCACCTCTCAGCTAAAGTACATAACCTAGAGACATGGAATTCTAATGCAAGAGCAAACAAAACCCCCTCTGGATTGGTAAAAGTCAGTAACTAAGACCACTTAGTTGTCATTTATGTAATTTCTAATACTGAAAATTCTGTTTCCATTATAAGTTTAAAGAAGCAAAAGTTATGATGCTACTTGTAAATATGTTACAGTAATGAATATCATGGCTTTTGGAAGTAATTCTTGGGATAATTAAAAAGCAATTTCTTTAAGATAAAATATTAAGTGGTAAAACAAGTACTTTCTAAGACATAGTTAATAACAGTATTATTTCCCTACTTCTTTTTTCATGCAATACCATGGTCAATCTACATTATTCCCACCTAAAATGTAAATACACTTCAGCAATTTAATTTCCGATGTTACTTTGATGACAGATATTTCCCTAAGAAGATACATTTAAAACTGTGAAACAACCTGTGACTATGAATCACAGATACAATAGTAAATACTTATCAGTGATTCATCAGTTCATTAATAATTCCAAATACTTAAAATCACTATTATATATTTTGCTATTCCATACAATCCTAAGCACAGATATAAATGCTAATTGATGTCATAAAAGAAAACAATAATGCAAATTATCACAAAGTTCCTTAAAATAAATAGTTTTTACAGTAATTTTTTAATCTTGTTCTAATTTATCTAAATATTTTCTAGTACTGCTGGAAAAAAATGTTAACTGTACCCAAAATAACTTTCCTATGTTTTCACACTCTGAAATTCAAATACAGATGACATAATATATCCTAGATATATAGTTAGGACAAAAGCCAAACTAATAAATAGTCTGAACGATAGGAGATTTTTACATAACCATATCATTTATTCTCATAATCAAATAAATGCTGAGAAACATTGTAAGAGGGATTTACTAGGTTCAAAGTCCATAAAATAAATAAAACAACTATTGTTGGCAAGAAAATTTCACTCAAATTGTCATAAAAATATGCATCTACTAAATACAAATTCTATTTTTTTAAAGTTGTCTCATTGAAATTGCTACCTAATAATAAAAAAATGTATAAGATGTGTTCCAGTACATTGCTTATAATGTATATTATACTGTGACATCTTCATGAACAGTTTAAGAAGTCCTGTTCCCTCGACCTATTCTGTAGATAGTGCACAACTCCTTTTTTTTTTTCCTGCAAATATGGTGCAATACCTGATTAAAAATACACTGATAGCCTGACATTCCTCAACACAGAAATGCATTAAGGAAAACAGTGCAAATACAAACAAAAAAAATTCCTTTAATAAACAAATAAATTAATTAAAGGCAATGTTTTGAAGCAGGTGTCTGTGTCTATGAGACGACTCCTGGAATATGCTGGAGATTAACACATGCAAATAAAAAATGGTAGTTAGTATGATGAATTTTTCACAAGTACTTCAAAAATACTAGTGTGGTTGCATTAAACTGCTTTATGGTGTAAGTCAGTTAATAGAGACATGGATCCACAATGTCAGTGTTTCTATTTAACTTTAAACAGCAAATACACAGTTCCAAACAGAAGCGGCATTAATTTTGGGGTTTGCACCCACCAAAGCTTTGTAACCATTGGTAAAATCTTTCTGAGGTTTGTTTCTCTCCTGCACTAATTATGCAGAGCACATATTAGCACCATATCTGGTATCATAACACACCAAAACATGGAGAGGAAAAGACAGCCCACGTGAGAACACCAAGTACATTGCACCTGCCCAGTAATCCTCAGGGAAAACCCCCATGGGGAAAAAAGCCTTGGAGCTGCCAATGGGGACAAATCAAAATATAGATATAATCTCTATAAATTAATAATGTCAGTAACTCTCAAGTCTGCCTGAAATAATAATGGACACCTACTAAATTTTTCCTTTCAAATATTACAGTGGGAGAGATGTAGAATACATATGCTGTCTTCTGTCAGTCTGAGTACCCGTGCTTTTATTTCTTAGTATTAATGAAGAGTATAAAAATGTACAAAACAAAACCCTAGACAACAAGAATAGTCTCTGTGGTCTCGTACTCATTATTTGTGCTCATTCATTGAATTAATCCTACATCCTGGAGCATGAATAGCCATTGAGGTCTGAAAACATATGTGAACAACACACTTCCATACAGATATAGATACTCTTTAGAAAGATCAATTAGAAAGTCTGTTAACAGACACTTACACTCTAAAACATAGGAAGAATGCCAAAGTCTTCAGAAATTACCTTTTAACAGCATTTTGGGAATGATAACAAAATCTTAAGAAATCAAAATATTTTTCATCATAAATGTTAATTTGAGAATTTCATAGAATTCATAAATAAAAGTGAGGGGTTTGAGGCTTTAGTGGTGGTTTTTTTCCTCCCACAACCCCATTACCAGCATAAAGCTAAACCACAAGTGACAAGTCTTCAGCAGAGACTTTGATAGTGTTTTACTCAGGTGAAGTCACTTTGTGACTTTATCCACATGAAAACCACACTCCATCGATTAAGAATTTAATATATAAAAGAAAAACACCTATTTTGAATACTGATAGCAATGTAGTTCTCTGTCATTGACAAAGAAAACTCTTCTGTACAGGTCTCCAAGTAAAATTATACATAATGACACCACTGAAATACAAAAAGTACCTTCTAAAAAAAATAAAAAAGAGAAATGAAAATTTTCTGCATTGCAATATTATTCCTACTTAGAATACGTAGCTAAACCCAAATGAATCCTACACTAATAAAAAAATAAGAAGTATCCCATTATTTTTGGTTTTGATAAAATTCTTGTTGTGACATATATGTTATTCTACTCCTTGAGTTCTTCTGTCATGCTCTTGCTTCTCAATTTGTAGTTCCATGTGTGAATATTCCCAAAGCCCAGGCCAGATGATGCTGATCTGACTGATTTTTGCACAGCTTCAAAATTATAATTCCAAGGCAGCATCACAGCAATGATAACTCTGCATTTCAAGGGTTCCACATGCAGAGAGAACAGAGAAGTGATGAGATAATAACATCCAAAAGGCAATAAGAACAGCTTCTGGGACAGAACAACTTATTCAGGTATCATGGAGTGTTCAATCTGCAAAATTCCATTGTCATTGTAGTAAAATCAGTGTAATTACTCAGAAGGGGAGAATTAGCTGATTGTGATGCTTGGAAGTTGTCATTCATTTACAACTGTAGAAAGCTGTACTTGGACAGAGGTAGATGCTGTGGTTAGTGGATGAGTTTGAATTATCATCCACTTCTCCAGTTCCCACTGAGAAAATGTAGCACCAAATGAGATGTTGTTTGTCTGCCAAAACTTGCATTTGGAGTTGGCTGAAAATAAGAATGGAAGGCGAGAAGAGTTGCAGAAATTGGTGATTCGTTTGTAGCTGGATTTTGGTAATATTACTTGGATGGTTAGAGCAGCTGACTTCCTTTCTATAGAGTTTAACATTTGGCTGACTGAAGTACTCCTTTAACCCCTGAAGTCCAAGTACAAGACTGCAAGCAAAAAATCCCTACATTTAAAATCCAGAACAATTGAATACCTTTAATTTTTT